TTCGTAGTAGCACTAGAGATAATAAAACTTTAAAAAATACGATATATTTTTTAATAATTTTAATATATTTTTTAAATATATTATTTATTTTTATATTTTTTTAATCTTAACATGTTTCAGAAGAATGAGGATGGCATAATGTAATGCTGAAACATGTTAAGATTAAAAAAAATATATCGCATTTTTTAAAGTTTTATTAAAACAAATTTAGTTGGTGTTAGCTCTTGCAACAACAATAATACCATTCTCTCTGTCGAATCCAGTCGTTCTGCTTACTATCGGTGTCGCCATCTTGGTTGGTGTGCAAAATGTTGAGACTTGGATTCAGTGTGACGTCGAAATAATTGCAACATTTATGTGACGCTCGTCCACACRGGAAATTATCGATATGTGACAATTACATAAAAACTAGCAAGCCAGCTTTCCAGTAACTACAGTTGTCACATAATATTTGTCCAATTTTGCTCATCTACCGCGGGCAATTAAAAATTGTCACATAAAAATTGCTCGTCTAGACGGGGCTTAATTCACAGGTCTGAAGTTCAAGACTCAGAGGAGCTGACATTTCATTAGATTTCTTTCTTTACCAAAAAATAAATAAATTCAATCAAATATAGAACAGGGAASCCGGTAACGGTAACTTAATGAAAAAATTAATAGAGAACAATGAGAATAAATAAATAGTTTTGAACACAAGTAACGCAGGCTCAAGTTTACAGGAAAGTGAGTGAGTGAGTGAGTGAGTGAGTGAGTGAGTGAGAGATTCGTCCCCCTCCAATAACTCTTCGATTGCTTCGCAATCTTCGAGTTAAAAACACACATGAAGTTGTAAACTAAAAAGAAAGAAATAGGGTTTCTATCGCACGCTGAACGGTCGTTTCCCTTCGATGCAAAAGCACGGCTAGCTTTCAAGATGACGCAGAGAACCGTGAAGAAGACTATATATATTTCTGAGGACTTCTAAAACTGAAACAACTCTTTTTAGTTATACTGCCGATGAAAGGGAAATTATCAAATTAACAATTGAGTTCAGTATCATTAAAATGTCGAACCACCATAGCTAGCCCAATTTGTAAAAAAATTTGAATAGATAGCCACGTGATCAAATATTGTATTTTGGAGCATTTGATCACGTGATAATCAGCTTTTGAGAGTGCCCTGGATGGGAGGTTGAAATTACCGCAGCCTTATGTGCCGCGGATTTCCAACCCCGTGAATTGTGGGTTCTCCCATATTTAAGACACGGGATAGGCGCCTTTGCGCGTCAGTTGGATCAGAGMGTGTTTGAGGATAATATGCGCAAGTTACATWAGAGCTCTCAGGATACATCAACTTATAAATCAATACAGTTACAAAGAGTCTACGCTATAATTCAGTAAAGCAAATAAAGAAAAAGAAGAGCGAAAAGCCCCAAACATGCTCTGATCATKAGAAATAATGACTCGAAAGTAAACATCACTCTATAGCAAGGAGAAGMAAAATATTATGAAAATAAGATGTTTATTACTTGTAGGTTAAAAATTGATAGCCAGCCATTTGGATAACACTTGTGTGGGAAAAAGAGCATTATAAAATAACTTTTGTATTACGTGCGCTCTGATTGGCCAAAAAGCCGTGTTTGATGAGAGCATAATACACGCTCGCGTCATTTTTTTTCTCGACTTTTTTTCCCCCTTAATTAACAAAAAACAAAATCTARCCCCTAACAAAGGACTGCACAGTGCATTTAAAATTTTAAAATTACAGGAAGTTTATATTATAAAAACGCAATTTCTGTCTAAAGTACTACAGTATCGGTCATGAGGAACACGAAATGTCTTTTACTGTACTTATTTTCAACGTAACACAATAAGGGAGTTGATATAACTCTGTCAAGGGAGTTGAATTTACTCCACCGAATGGAGTAACTTTAAAGGGAGTTAAATCTACTCCGTAATGAGAGTAAACTCCACTAAGGGTAATTTCAACTCCACTATGGATAATTTTAACTCCACCTGAAGATACCTAAGTAGAATAATAAGTGGAGTTAATGTTACTCCTAAAAAGGAATCATCTTGTACCTTTTTTTAACTCCACGTTTGGAGTTATATCAATTCCCTGAAAATAACAGTGCAGCGAATTGTAATATCGAGTTCATTTCTTCATTGACTGTGCAAATCCATTTATCAATAGTCTTCACAAATGATTTAAAGTTAGCTTTCTTCTAAACTATAAAAAGCCCAATAGTCTAAATTACATCCCAGCTATTCTAAATCAAGCCAGAGACAAATGGCAGCATTTGAGAGTAATCTGCTGAAAATTTGACAAAATACAGTATTTTAAAAGAAAATTTATGAGTAAATGTATGATGAATAGCTTCATCTCTTTAACGGATAACCTTAATAACTTCTTCATTACCAATTTACTAGGCAGTTCTTTTCTTTTGGTAATCATTGTTTACTATTAGTTATATTTTTATAATGACTGGGTTAACCGTGCAATGACATAATATTACTTTTCTACAGACGCATCTGAGGATGAACCTCCAAATGTCATCACTGGGTTGTCATAAGCATGCAAAACGTCGTCACCATCATCATCACTCTTCCTATCTTCGTTACTGTCGTTAACGACCACTTCCGATGTTTTCAACTTTGGAACCTTCCATTCAGGAAGGTTGCCCATATAAAACTCGTCTTGACTGCTGACGTTATTAGTGGGATGACGGGATTCTTGCTTTGACGAAGACAACGAAATGTTGCTTTGCCGGTAAGTTAGGGCCTCACCATCATATTCTTCGTCGATTCCAGACCGAACTGCATCTGCTTCCATAGGATCGCCGTACATTTCAACTCGATAATATGAAGACCGTGGCATTCCTCGATATCTTTTCAATTCCATATCAGCATCACCACTTAAGACAAACGTTTTACTAAGACGATCTCTACGACAACGCACTAGCAGTACAATTAAACCAATGAGAAATATTAGACCCATCGCTGCTCCAAAAGAGACGTACAACCAAAAGGCAAGCTTCTTGTCAGACGAAGAGGAAGAACCACTAGTCGGGCTTGGTTTGACTACTTCTACTTTACTAGCAACGTAAGTTGTTTCCTTCAACTGGACTTTAAGTCTTTTATCGTTCAGTGCCTTTTCTAATTCTTCTATGGTTCTTGAGGATGCATGAGCGACAGTAAAAGTGACAAGAATAGAGCCACACCGAATATTATCAACATGGATGTCTTCCACAGAGATTGAAATGATTGTTGCGATTGTTTCTTTGAATTGCTTCATAAACTCTTCTTTTTGAACTGGATTGCTTACTATTTTTTCGCAGTCACCTTTGAAAGTAATCAAGTATCTCTTCTTTTCTTGACGTGGTGCAGTGGTTGGTTTTTGAGTTGTAGAAGGCGTTGTATCAGGATAGAAATAAGTACTTGAGGAAGTTACGGAATGCTTAGTCACTAGTGTAGATAAAGCCCATGAATTCACTGAAGAGGTTGATAATTTAGCAGAAATAGACGGAGTAGCAAAATATGAGGAAGAACTTTGAAGTTGCGGCGAAGAGGATATTGATGGACTGACAGCGACTGAAGACGATGTCGAAGGTCGTGGCGAAACGGACATTGACGGAGGACTGACAGCGACTGAAGTCGAAGCTGAGGTTCCTGGCGAAGAGGACATTGACGGACTAACACCAACTGAAGACGATGATGAAGGTCGTGGCGAAGAGGACATTGACGGACTAACACCAACGGAAGACGACGATGAAGGTCGTGGCGAAGAGGACATTGACGGACTGACACCAACTGAAGGCGATATTGAAGGTCGTGTCGAAGAGGACATTGACGGACTAACGCCAACTGACGGCGATGAAGAAGGTCGTGGC